CCCCTCCCATCCCATCCCATCCCATCCCATCCCATCCCATCCCATCCCATCCCATCCCATTCCATTCCATTCTATTCTATTCTATTCTATTCTATTCTATTCTATTCTATTCTATTCTATTCTATTCTATTCTATTCTATTCCATATCCAATATCTATTCTATTCTATATCCAATATCTATTCTATCCTCCTCACCCAGCCCAGGGGTTTCCCATCAGAGCTGGAGCGGGGACACCCAAGGTGCTTGCTCCCCCCATCCTCCAAGGGCTCCCCCATCACTTTCCTTCTTGGACGGTGCCCTTCCTGCCCCATTGGCAGCCACCCGGCCAGGGAGGGGCCAACGAAACACTTCTTAGGAAGCCTCTTTGTGGCAAGGTGACCACAATCCATCAATGCACAAGGGAGTTGCGCCACCTGATGCCACCAGTTCCTTGTAATTTGGACACCAGGATGGGTGGTGAAATCCTTAACGGTCGCTCCCAGCATTACAGCTGGTTGTATCTTTCACTTTAGGGTCCCTGTTTTATTCCTGGGAAGGTCTAAGGAAACTCCGGCAATTATTCCCGTGTCCTGGTATTTTGTAATTAATTAATAAACAGATAAAAATGCCAGAGATGTGATTATTGATACACTCTAGAAGTTGAAAGATACACCTGGTGTGTTTAAGGAGCTCCCAAGCAGTGGCCAATATTAGCACAAGGGGGTGCCCAAAAGGATGCAAAATAAGACAGAAAAAGAAACAGTGAATATTCACGTCGGTCCATTTGGGGAGAACAAATCTGTATGTCAGCCCCGTGAGGTTAACCCACAAGTACACACTCTCCCCACTTGCAAATCTTGTCATTCGTTCATGGTATAGGGTCTCCTGCTTGAGCAGCAGGCTGGACTACAAGACCTCCAAGGTCCCTTCCAGTTTCTATTCTATTCTGTTCTGTTCTATTCTACATTCCGTTCTATTCCCGATTCCTGTTGATTCCATTCCATAACGCTCTACTCTACTCTACTCTATTCCATAATCCATTCCATATTCCTTATATTCAATATTGCATATTCCATATTCCACTCTATTCCATTCCATTCCATGCCATTCCATGCCATTCCATATCCTATCCTATCCTATCCTCTCCTATCCTATCCTATCCTATTATTTTATTTATATTTTCTATTCTGTCCCGTCCCGTCCCATCCCATACCATCACATCCCATTCCACTCCACTCCACTCCACTCTATTCTATTCTATTCTATTCTATTCTATTCTATTCTATTCTATTCTATTCTATTCTATTCTATTCTATTCTATTCTATTCTGTCTTGTCCTGTCCTGTCCTGTCCTGTCCTATCCTATCCTGTCCTATTCTATCCCATCCCATCCCATCCCCTTCTCTTCCATTCCATTCCATTCCGTTCCGTCCTGTCCTGTCCTGTCCTGTCCTGTCCTGTCCTATCCTATCCTATCCTATCCTATCCTATCCTATCCTATCCTATCCTATCCTATTATTTTATTTATACTTTCTATTCTGTCCTGTCCCATCCCATCCCATCCCATTCCACTGCACTCCACTCCACTCCACTCCAATCCACTCCATTCCGTTCTATTCTATTCTATTCTATTCTATTCTATTCTATTCTGTCTTGTCCTGTCCTGTCCTGTCCTGTCCTATCCTGTCCTGTCCTATCCCATCCCATCCCATCCCATCCCCTTCTCTTCTCTTCTCTTCCATTCCATTCCATTCCATTCCATCCTATCCTATCCTATCCTATCCTATCCTATCCTATCCTATTTTATTATTTATATTTTCTATTCTGTCCTATCCCGTCCCATCCCATCCCATCCCACTCCGTTCCACTGGACTCCACTGCACTCCACTCCATTCGATTCCATTCAATTCCATTTGATTCCATTCCATTCTATCCCATCCCATCCCACTCCACTCTATTCCATTCCATTCCATTCCATGCCATTCCATTTCCTATCCTATCCTATCCTATCCTATCCTATCCTATCCTATCCTATTCTATCCTATCCTATCCTATCCTATCCTATCCTATTATTTATATTTTATATTCTGTCCCATCCCGTCCCATCCCATTCCATTCCACTCCACTGCACTCAACTTCACTCTATTCCATTCCATTCCATTCCATTCCATGCCATATCCTATCCTATCCTATCCTATCCTATCCTATCCTATCCTATCCTATCCTATCCCTTTTCTATTCTATTCTATTCTATTCTATTCTATTCTATTCTATTCTATTCTATTCTATTCTATTCTATTCTATTCTACATTTTTCTTCCCACTTGGTTTGACCAGTGGCCCCCTCCTCCCCCAGCCCAGGGGTTTCCCACCAGAGCTGGAGCGGGGACACCCGAGGTGCTTGCTCCCCCTATCCTCCTAGTGCTCCCCCATCACTTTCCTTCTTGGACGGTGCCCTTCCTGCCCCATTGGCAGCCACTCGGCCAGGGAGGGGCCAACGAAACACTTCTTAGGAAGCCTCTTTGTGGCAAGGTGACCACAATCCTGCAGAGCACAAGGGAGTTGCACAACCTGATGTCACCAATTCCTTGTAAGTTGGACACCAGGATGGGTGGTGAAATCCTTAACGGTTGCTCCCAGCATTACAGTTGGTTGTATCCGTCACTTTAGGGTCCCTGTTTTATTCCTGGGAAGGTCTAAGGAAACTCCGGCAATTATTCCCGTGTCCTGGTATTTTGTAACTAATTAATAAATAGATAAAAATGCCAGAGATGTGATTATTGATGCACTCTAGAAGTTGAAAGATACACCTATTGATTAAAGAGCTGTCCAGCTGTGGCTGATATTAGCAGAAGGAGGTGCCCAAAAGGATGCAAAATAAGACAGAAAAATAAACAGTGAATATTTACGT